AGAAAATGAGTCAGATACAAAAATGGCTTTTAAAATGAGTTCTTTGGCAATGCTTTAAGTTTATAGTAGACAGATTTTGTTACCTTTGTACACAGCGGTCTACTCAGCTTTTGTGTTGAAGCTTATTAGTTAACAATACCCACAGATTTTATATGTGACAGAAGAATTTTTGTACCTTTTGGTTTTGTAGGTTTGTTGTTTTGTTTTTTCCTCTGAGCACAGATGACTGCCACACCCACAAGTAAGAAAAATACCAGTGCTGAGAGAACACCACCGATCAGTGGCAAATGGGCTGTTTCAAAAGAAAAATACATAAAAAAAACCAGATGTTTCAGTTATCAAATGTATATTTTTTTGTAAAGGAACATAAAGAAAGAGAAAGTGACATCAGTGGATCTAGTTAGTTTTCACTTACTAATGTACCATTGGTCATCACTGTAGGAAGTCACAGTTTCATTGTTGAATTGTGTAATTGACACTGTGCCAGTCTCCTTACCCACAGAAGTTGGTGTGACTGGGGTAGATTCTGTTGTTGGTTCAATACACAGGCTGTTACTGTCCACAGGCACCCACCCTAATATCTGTGTCTCATTGATTGAGGTGCAGTTAATGAAGCCTGGCAGAAAAAAAACAAATATGATGTTCGAGAAAGATGTTCGAAGTGAATTAGTTGTTATTATTGACTTTCATTCATAATGTTGTCACTCACGACAGGTCTTCTGTTCTTTGGAGACATTACTGATGTTGTTCTTGACTGAGCAGACCAGACGTCCTGACACGTGCTGTTTCAGAGTGATGATGTTAGTCTCATTATTTTCAGAAAAGAGCTCAGCATCTGTCAGTGTGCGTCCATCCAGAGTCCAGCTGTACTGAGGACTGTCCCCTTCCTCAGAGGAGCAGGAGACCCTCATCTCTCTCTGGGACAGACACTGAGAGACCAGCAGGACAGAGGACACAGGAGCTGAGAGAAACACACACAGATAACTTAGATTTCAAATTTAAATCTTTGTCATTGTTGATACTCTCTAATGAAGAACAGGGAAAGCATACAATACATGTAGTTTGTGTATTTTGTGCTATATCACTAAGGTTATCAAAATAATGTTAAATTTATATCTATAATTTGTTCCAAACTGAGAAAAAAAATACCTTGAATAAACAACTGTAAAGTCCGCACGCCTGATGATGCTCCATTTGAATCAAAGGTTTCAAGGGTATAATTACCACTGTCATTCCTACTCAGGTTATTGATCCTAAATGTTCCATTACTGGGAAAAAAGCTAGATCTATGTGATATGGTATTAGAAACAACCTTATCATTTGTAAAAGATAGTATTACTGATGAATTCTTTAACAGTTTGTATCTAGGTATTTTTGAGGTGCTGTCCATCAGCTGGATGTCCACAGTTCCTCCCAAAGCTCCATAACACTGAGCTCCATCCTGTCTGCCATCACAGTGAGTTTCCACACCTGCATGGAAAATGTAAAAGTAAACAAAAGCAAAAACTAAAAAACAGTAAGGATTCAGCTAACAGCTCTATCTGACATTTAAGTTTTAATATTTTTAGAAGAACATTTAAAAATGACCTTAAATCAGTTATATCAGTAGAAGTACACATAATTAACTGTATGTCGGAGTTTTGAATTCTG